CGTCCCTCCTGCCTGGCTGCACCCGTGCAGCGCCCTAGGCTCTGCCGGTGGGTCCTGTGCCCCAGGGCACGGGGTTGAGGCTGGAGCCTGGTGGGTTTGGGATTTCTTCTTGGGGATTTTTGTTTTTTCCCCACTCGCTTCCTTCCTCCACTCTCACCCTGTGGCCTCAGTTGCCCCTGGCGCTGTCCACCCCTCCCCAGCTCCGTGCTTGGCTCCCAGCAGCCCAAAAGCGGTGGTGGGGAGGGCCCTGCTGGGGTCACAGCTCTGCTACCTCTTGCTCTCATCGCAGCTGGGGAAATCCCAGCCCCAAGCCTCGCTGCAGCCCCTCTGCTGTGGTGTCATGCCGGGGAACCCCCCAAGTCCCTGTCTCCCACAGCAGCACCCCCAACTGCCTGCTTGCTTGGGCCCTGTGACACCCCCCATGAAGACCCCCACCTTGTCCCCCACCTACAAAGACACCCAGTGTGGTGGTCAGGCTCAGCTGGGTGTCCCCAGCGCATCCCTCGGTCCTGGGCTGCTCCCCGGGCTGAGAGGTGGCACCCTGGCATTGTGCCACCCCGAAACACCACATTGCAGCCGTGTACCCCAAAAAACCCTGACAGCCAAAAGAAACAAGGAAATGTCAAGGCATGAAAGTGGTAGAAAACCCCATCCCAACACGCCTGAGGGGGGTCCGAATCCGGCTGCCCCCAGCCCCTGGCAGTCTGCGGGAGAGCCGGAGGGAAGGGATGGATGTGCAGGATACGGCTCAGATGCTGCCCATGTCTCCGAGGACACACACCCAGGGCACAAGGGGGCTCAGCGAGGGGGACAGGATTGGGGTGAACAGGACCAGTTGCAGGATGTGGCTGCAGGCTCCCCGCAGGCCACGGATTGGGAAGCTGGGGCAAGTGCCTGGGATGCTCCCTCCCTTCCTCCGAGCACAGCATCCCACTGCCCCGATGGGATAAACACCCGCTTCCTGCCCTTAATCAGCTCCAGAGGGGCTGGGGGGGAGGACGGGACAGGGGGGAGAAAAAAAAAAAAAAAGTCTCTGGAAAGAAAAACTCATTTCCTGCGACAGAAGAAAAAGATAAAGTCTGGGGTCATTAAAGTGAACTTTACTGGGGAGAGACGGGAAAGAGCCAAACACAATGTCCTTGAAATTTCCTCCACGCGGCTCCGTCCACGAAAACAGGATAAAGGCGCTTCCGCTGTCTCTGCCGGAGCGTGCTGGAGGGGGAGGGGGGGCGGGGGGTCGGCTCAAG